GGACTCTGCAGGTTTTAGCTGATGCACTGAAATTTGCATAAAGGCAGCTGAGGCACCACTTCTCATCTATTTTTTTTCTTGTCAATGACAAGATAGTCAGGGGTGACTTTATCATATGAGTTCTTTGCATCTTGTCCTGGACTGATCCTCGCTGCCAGTGCTTCACCATGCTGTCTGACTTGTAGGTAGACAATGGCTGAATTCCCAGTGCTAAATTCTACAGGTGACCTAACTCTTGGGAGGTGACTACTTATATCTGGACACCTCCCTCACTGGACTTCGGGATCATACTCCAGACTAATACAGTTAGAAGGTGTTGTATGGCCTCAGGTGGAATATAGTGACAGTAACCTACAGTAGTACAATTGAAGAAGAAATAATGTACTGGTGACAACCAAGGGGACTGTGTTGGTCTGTCAGCGGACTGGGTGAGGTTCACACTAAACCACTGTTGTAGAGTACTGAGTCTTTGGACAGTTGGAAAACTTTTACATCATATTCAACAGTGGAACCATGTGAACAAATTGAAACTATGACATTGTAAGTCAGAGATGTTTGACAAGGTGGTAATGAAACCACAGACCTCAAGCTACAGTGCACGTTGCACTTGGCTTCTCCCTGCTTCAGTTACTGTGCAACACAGGGGCTAGCCTTATAGTACTTTGAGGTGACATCCTTCAGGGGCACACTCCTGTGACATGGTGGAAATCTTTGATCCTCCAGCTGCCTTTAGAGGACCCACTCAAGCCCTGCAAACAATGTCTCAATTTGTACTCAATCAAGACAGCATATCTGGTTGTTTAAACTTCATTTTTCTCTTAGTGACACTGTGGTCAGATTAATCTTGTTTAGGTCTGAAAGTATCAACAGTAGTGCAGAGTGATACTGTGCTAAGGTGGACACAGCAGCTGTTCTTGTTCTACAGTCCAAAGATGTGGTTGTTGGTAAATCTCTGACTCTGTGTTGGTGGGGGGGCACTTAAAAGTGTTGCCAGCAGCCATACTGTACATTTACAGTTAACACCTATTAGGCATTATTACTTCACTTTTCTTCAGGTCCAACGAACACCTCACTCCTCGTCTGCTACTTCATGTATTTCTAATGTCCACTGTGTGAATGCTTCTCCTATGGTATTGGTTTATTTTGTGCCTTTTAAATCTGGATGAATTTCCAGGGGGTAATTCAGAAAGCAGGTTTAACAAACTCAGAACTTAACCCTGAACTGTGAGTTGACCCACTATGACAGGGGAAGCTGAGTTTTCGGTTCCACAACAGCTGGTCAGAAGGCGTTCAGTCAACTCTGAGAATGTCCAGTCAGAGTTAAGCATGTGTGTAATGACTATAAAAAGGCATGATCAGTGGAGCTCTGCTAATACGTTTCACCATGGCAACAGGTAAATAAGGAGCAGAGCTGACATTTTAATCCAGTGGAGATAGAAATGTTAGTGTGTGCTAATGCACACTTATCGTTAAAATATACAACAGCAGCACTGAAAGAACCTGAGCTGGAAGTCACCAACACTCTATGCTCATTTGTTTAGCAGACTGGGATTTCTTTAATGGATGGTTAAGTGCTGGAATCCTATGGTTCACACATTCATTTATTAAATATATTTATTTGACTGGGTGGTATGGTGACACAGTAGCTACCTCTGCAAAAAGCAAGAAGGTTCTGGGTCTGAGCCCCGGCCAACCCGGTGCCTTTCTGTGCAGAGTCTGCATGTTCTCCCTGTGCCTGCGTGGGTTCTCTCCGGGTGCTCCGGCTTTCTCCCATAGTCCAAAGACATGTACCTTAGGTCGATTGCTGACAGGGACAAAAAGCTGGTGGCAGCAGAAGACAAAATCAAACAGATAAGACATAAATTTATTTAGAGATCTCTGATTATAGCCTACAGTGCCCTCAGTCTTACTCAATAATTATGATTTTGATCATTTGCAGGTAGAAAAGCATCAAGGGTAAAATGACATTGTTAGATGTCTATTATACATTTTAAAATCTTGCCCAGTTGCATTTAATAAACATATTTAAACTCTGAGTGAATTTAAACATAGTGAAATGCTGTTAAAACAAGATTGTATACAAAACTACTTTTAAACTGCATTTAGTCTAGTTTAATAATGGTCAAGTCTTTATAGTTGCATTACAATCATTCTCATTCAGAAATATTGACATCTTCAAAATGATCACTGACTATAATAGGAAGTTCCGATGCAGAAAGAACAACATAAAATTAGTATTATTATTCATGTGGCCAACGATTCACACTGGTTTGTTAAACATATACAGTGGTCACAGTAATGTGCAATGTAGGGGAACTGATTGATAACCTGACAATTGTTTTCATGTCCACAGAATCATGGTGTTAGGAATACAGACAGTGGATAGATTTTCTTTTGAGTTGAGGATGAATGCTCGCTGTGGGATTAACTGCTGTTGAAGAGGGATCACTGTCTTTACACTGGTTGATCATAAAAGTGATCCCATCAGTAAAGATAGGCAGGTCTTGAGTAACAAACTATCAGGCTACTATCTAACTGGGATCTAAGCTTTTCTCCTGGTGTAAACTTCTCACAATTAATATGCTCCAATCTGCTCATCAGTATGAACTGTATGAATGAGGAAATGAAGCAGCTTCCTCATTCATACACTCAGATAGCTTCTTCAGACTCTGCAGCAAGGAGGAGACAGAAAGTCTGGGTTTGTTGAAGAAAACCTGCCAACGAGCAGCTGAGTCAGTTACCATGGTAACTGACTCAGAGTGATCTCTGTTTCTGGAATTGAAAACTCGGAGTTTCCCTCCATTCAGAGTGAACAAACTAAACCCACTTTCTTTAGACACAGTCTATATATTTTTTAAAAATACAGAAAATAAAGGCCTAGAATGTGATTAGCACTGTCCCCTCAAAATTAAAACATCCCGGGTCCCAGGGGCCCATCAGGATGGAGTCTGCATGTTCTCCCTGCATCTCTGTGAGTTTCTGCATGGTGTCCTATTTTCATCCAGCAGTGCACAGACATACAGCCTAGGTGAACTGGAGGCTCTAAACTGAGAGTAGGTCAGAATGCTAGTGTGAGTATGTGGTTATCTGTCCACATGTGTTAGCCCTGTGATAGACTGCCATGTCATGTTGTGCCCCTGGTGCAATGAGTGCTGGAGTACTGCAGTTCTGGTACACAGTTATTATCTTCTGGACTGTTGACCTTGCACATTTTGCATGATCTGTTGCACATTTTTGTCTTTTTGGGAGGAATTGTCCTTTTATAACATCAGCAAGTTGAAAGTCTTGTTCCCTCATGTTATCACAAGCAGCATAGGGTTTACAAAGACAGGTCAAGAAAACTGAAGGATGCAAACAGTGTAAAACACTTCAGAATAATTTAGGGCCACAATGAACAACCAGTGCTTCAGTCACATGAACATATTGTGTTATTTTTTCCTAGCTAACTTCCACTGTAAACCCTCTGTGCTGATGGTGGATGAGCTGCTGTCTGCATATCCCCACCAGCTGTCATTCTCTGAGGCCGGCATGAGGATCATGATCACCAGTCATTTCTCCCCCAGAACCCGCCTCACCATGGCTTCGCGCATGCTTATCAATGAGGTACATGAAGACTAAACTGTACACGGAGTCACACTGTGTTGAGTTAACAGTGTTACATACTGCACGTTACTACCTCTGCCAAGGGGGGGGGTTATGTTTTTGCCAGTGTTGTTGGTTTGTTTGTTGGTGTGTTTGTTTATCTGTTAACAGCATAACTCAAAAAGTAATTAATTGCTTTTAATGAGGTAGGGTATGGCCCATGGAACAATTGATTAGATTTTGGTGCTGATCTGTATTATAATGGATACAGGAATATTTTAAAAGATTATTCACCACTGTGAGTGCTGCAAAGGCTGCTGACTGTATGTGGCCAAAGTGTGCAGCTGCGCTGCTGACACAGAGACAAATCCCAGTGTCATCGACAGCTGGCAGTTCATTGTCAGTGGAGACTGAGTGCTGCTGCTCAGTACACCCTGCTGTTCAACATAGGGACTGAAGGAGCCCAGCGAGGTAACAGGCCACAGCTGGGGAAAGATCTGCTCTGTTCAGTGACAGCCGGGCAAGAGCTGATCAGGATTATCTTGATCCCAGACGGTGATGGCAGAGATTTTCAGCCAGGCTCAAAGCTGTTATAATTTTTATCCTAGGGCTGGCATTATGCCATTTTATTATGTTTTGACATTTTTTTCTGATAACCACTTAGATTGAGAATATGTGGCCAGTCAAGCCAAGTGATGCCAGTTTAGAATTTTTTCCAATGTACTGAGTTGAAATTAATTGAGTTGAATTGAACTGAATTGCCTTCAAACTAATAAAGCTATCTGCATCAGTCCAAATGCCAGCAGTGGGTTGTCATAGTCATGCTATCATATATGAGGATCAAACTATCATGGGAATATTGCTTTTATGGCATTATGGGGAAACTGAGTTGCCCTTGGCAGAGGTTGTACTCTCTGAGTGTTGTCTAGTTTCAAATTGTAAAATGTTGAAATGCAGCAGTGCAACCCTCAAGAGAAATATAGTTTTACCAGCTTGAGGTAATTGGAAAAATCCCTCTAAAGCCAAGATGATGGCAAAATACAATCCAAATAACTCTGTCTGAGTTCAACAGAAGAAGGAGTGAACTGAATGTTAATTTAGTTTTGAATATTACAGCCAACATTTTCTCTCAGACACCTGTCCGCTGCACACTACACTGTGGATGGAAGCCTAAACCAAACAACCAAATTTGGGCCTTTGATAGAAAGAAGAGAAAAGAACATGAACTTCTGTCTGAGATAAATATAAGGGACTCTTTCAGAAGTTAGGTTGTTAACTGGAGCTCAGAATAGGTACCACTGGCCACACTACAGCAATAAAAACATCTAAATGTGTTCATGGAACCACTGTATTGATATGTCAGTGTTGCCTGTGATAATGTTTTTTAATCATTTGCAGAGACAAAGACTGATCAACACTACAGAGACTCGAGTCAACCGCATCACCAATGGTGACTCAGATTCAGCAGTACGGGCCCATGGGAGACGGGGCTTAGGGAATGGGATGAGTGGCACTGAACGAGAGGGTCTGAACGGGAGGTGCAGGCTTCAGCGACTGGAGTCTGGGAATGAGACAGAGAATGAAAATGAGGATAATGAGAACAATGAGAATGACGAGGAAAGAGCTGGGGGTGATGAAAATGAAGGCCCCCTGGTGCCTTTTAAAGTCCCAGGTACAGCACAGATGGCATTTTGAAGTGAAATGTTGGTCTGTGGACTAAACTGTTGCCACGTCAAGTCTGTGTTCTGTATCCTCTGTGTTCCTGTCTCCACCCAGCTGGGGCGTGCAACAAGCTGAAGTGGCTGGCTATGTGGCCGCTGTCCCTGCTGCTGTTCCTCACCGTGCCAAACTGTGCCAAGCGGCGCTGGGAGAGGTGGTTCATGGTCTCCTTCTTCACCACCACCATCTGGATCGCTGGCCTCTCATACATCATGGTCTGGATGGTCAGTCAGTCTTATTGACTAACATGTTGCCAAGGCAACCTGGGCTTTAAAGGATGATACAATTAATACTGGAAACTCCACTTATAATTTGGGATGGGAAGGAGATTATTATTCCACTAACATATTACCATTTAAACAGGAGTGCACTCTTTTGCATGAATAGCAGTCCAGTCCACTCCAGTAATTCTTTTACAGACCCTTAGACTGAAGTTGTACTTGTTTATTAAGAGCATGCTGAAAATGAGGACACTAACAGACACACATTTTCTGTTCAGTTAAGGAGAATGCCAAGCAGACAGTACAGACATTTTATAAAGTGTATGAAATATGCTCTCTCTAAGAGTCAGACAGGGAAACTGAGTCCCAATGAAAATCGATGGATCACTAAATTCATTTGCTAACACCGTACTCAAGTGGAGATGTGACTCATGACTCAGCTCTCTGAGGACTGTTACTGCAGCACTACAGTATGTGCATTTTCTACACCGAGGGTATATAAAACTTTGTTAAAGTGCTGAAATTGAATTCCAGATGGGAACTTGGTTCAGTGGTCGTCTTTATTTGATAGACAGTACTGCTGAATTTTCTGCGAAAGGCATTATATTGAGATAAATCTGCCTGTTTTCAGGTGACTGTGATCGGCTTCACTCTGGGCATCCCTGATGTCATCATGGGCATTACCTTTCTAGCAGCAGGCACCAGCGTCCCAGACTGCATGGCGAGTGTTATTGTGGCACAGCAAGGTACACACACACGCCCCGATACACTCTACCACAGCCAGACACACGAAGGAGTGACTGTTCACAGCAGAACATTGCTTGGCTCCTGACTGTAAGTAGACTTTGACAGTGTTGTTCTCCTTGCCTCAGGTCTAGGAGACATGGCCATCTCCAACTCTATAGGCAGCAATGTGTTTGACATCCTGGTGGGCCTGGGCCTGCCCTGGGCTCTGCAAACACTCTGCATCGACTATGGCTCCATCGTGAGTGCTGCTTAGCCAGATGAGACTCAGTTGCCTGTACAGGAGACTAGAATAGAACAGACATGTCTTTATGAAGGACAGGGACAATAGTCTGTAGTATTCATTGTAGAGTGATGTGGAGATTAAAATTAGAGTTGTACACAGAAACACATAATCTTTCAGGGCAGGGCACAGTTTATCACCTTACTCGGGGACAGTTTTACGTGTTAATTAACATGCTAATTACTCTTCACACAAGGAATAGAATCGCAGGATAGGTCAGAGTAAAGTCCATCCCCGGCTGTATAAATCCAGGATGTAATTCTATATGTAGGACCCTGCCAGTATGACACACTGTGTCTGTCTCCAGATCCATCTGAACAGCAGAGGACTCATCTTCTCTGTGGGACTCTTATTAGCCTCAGTATTCTTCACAGTAAGTACCAGATAATGCAAGTCACATTACACATTACAATAATAACTTTGATATCATAACTTGATGATAACTTTGACAACTCACCTCTGCCCTTGAATCCTTCCAGTCTCTTCCATCTACTCAGCCTTTTTTTTACACTTTAAGTTGTCATAAAGTGTTTAAATACAGTGTTACAGTGTGCAGCACAGTGCTAACCTCCTCAGCTGTTTCTTTTCCTACTGTACCCTTGACCTCACTCCTTCACTACCTCTGTCTTCTTGTCTGCAGGTTCTCTGTGTCCATTTAAACAAATGGACTCTGGATCGGCGACTGGGCTTGGTCTGCCTTGTCATGTACGCCATCTTTTTATGTTTCTCCATCCTCATCGAGTTCAATGTTTTCATCTTCGTCAACCTTCCCATGTGCAGAGACATCCACTGACCTCCCTCCTCTTCTTCTTCTACTACTTCCTCTGGCTGTTGGAGGAAACCTCACCTGGCTTCCAGTTTCTTGGTGCCTGGAAACCAAGTCCTCCCTTTTATTTTTTCAAATAGAAATCTAGAGCTCTGTAGGATTTGTCTTTGGTGCAATACACGAGAGAGAGGACGCCGGAGGTTTGTGGTTTTGGGGGACCGGACAAGAGGTGTGAAGAGAAAGTCCCAGTAGCAGAGATGGCTGCTGATCATCTAGTAGACCAAACGGTTGGCTGAAGTGACTCTAACTGTATTAACACCGACAGTTAGGCTACTGTTGTTGAAGAAGCTGCTACTGTCACTGACTGATGAGTGGAGGAACGAGGGAAATCCTGCTCTGACAGCAACTTTTATCTGGCTTGTTTGTTACTCTTTGTACGAGTTTGGATATAAGCATACTATTAAGGTATTTTCAAGTAAAGCTGTCTCTCTCTGTATATATTTGAGTACTAATATTAGCTGACATGTGGACCTCCTATGTACAGCTGGATCAGCCATACAAAGCTGAATGATTCAAAGACAGTGATAGCATTGTATGTTTTCCTCCAGTGATCTGATCTGCCAGTAACACACTCCCAATGCTTCAGCTTTTCTCCCATGCTCAGCAGCAGCCATCACAGCATGCTGCACTAGCTACAAGTCAACTCTTGCTTTGCACTGACAGAGAGAATCTAGATATTTAACACTATTTACATAGAGTCTGTTCTTGCTGTATTTTGTCTCTCTACAGGCTTATCCAAGTATATGTGGGCTTGATTGTTCTTTGATAAACCATACACAAGGAAGGGATCTTCCTGGAACTGACATCCAGCACTGTCACTTTATTAATTAGAAATATTATCCTAGTATTGCAAAGCATCTACAGGTATGCTAAACATGTAACTACTGAAGTTAAACATCCCACTAGACTGTCAACCCCTTGTGCTACATTAAAAAAAAATAGTTTTTAATCTTTGAGTTGAGTTTAATGTTACGTCCTAAAGCCAAAAGTATTTTTAGAATAGAAGTAAGAGTCATAGGTGTGGACTTAAGAGTCAGTTCCAGTGCACTCTGTGTGTGTGTGTGTGTGTGTGTGTGTGTGTGTGTGTGTGTGTGTCTGTGTGTGTGTGTGTGTGTGTATTTGAATTTTGAGGGGAACCAAGGATACCACTGTAACTGGGGAGACATAATCATGATTTATTTATGAATTAATTTATTCAAAGATCATGTCTAACCTCCAGTTTCAGCCCTTTGGGTCAAGTACAGTGTATTTAATGGAACACTGTCCACTCTGCATTGACAGAGCTGTACAATGTACTGTACCTAATATATAATCTAAGTACTGGAAACTGACTTGATGTTGTTTATACTTAAGAACTTAGAACTTCATAATTTATGAATTGTATATAGCTGCAAAGATATTGCAACATTTGTATACCGGTATAAACACAGTGGTTTTTGCTGGGTGGAGTTGCTGTGGAGATGGACAAATCTTTATCACTGGTGCTAACATGCAGCAGGTGGAAGGCAAATTCCCCCTTGCATGTTAAATTAGTGATGTAGAAGATTTACTTTCATATAAAAAGGGAACCGCATCTACATGGCACATAACCCTTCGAACTTTCACAACGTATTGTTTCTTAAACACAGCGCTTGAACTGTTGTGCCACCACTTTTATTCGAGCCAAAACCAAACACCTATGTCAACAGTATTGCCACTCTATATCAGCATATGTTCAAGCAAAACGTGGGGGATAAGTATATTTATTTCATTTTTATTTTTGCCTTGAAGGATTCTCAATGAGAATTCTGTCAATACAGTTGTTGATTTATTAAAAGCATCCTCTGTAGGTGTGGATACAGCCACAAGGGGCACTGTACAACTGTGTTACTGCTTCAGAGATGCTGTTCTTTTACACACAGTACAAAGTGATCTGGGTATGTGTTCAGGTAGGCTACACAGAGACAAATACTGGTTGGTTTGCATGCCTCTTTCATATTTCAGATTATTTTGTGTGTAATTTTAATGCATTTCCAAGATCAAAAAGGCACTGTCTGCATTATGCTGTACATATCAGAGGGATATGCTCTTACAGACACAGACGCTGACATAACGTCTGATGATTCTATTGGAGATATTTACAGTGTTTAGAATGTAGGCCTAAAACATTGCTTCAGGTAAAGTCATTTTATGCTCATGTCTTTTGAATTGTTTGTAAATCCTCATTTTTTTTTCAGTGAGGACTTTTGGGCAGCGCTCCGATCCAGAGAGATGCAGTTGTTGGCCTTGTTCCCAGTGGTGTTCTTGCAATAAACTGATTTACATACACATTTCATTTCCCCATGTCTTTATGTATGCTTCATTAATAAAGCACACTGTTTATTTTGCCAGTAAAATGAGTTATATAATACTGTATATCCAGCACTTCTTTTTGGAGACTGAAAAATACAATGTTGTATAAAGCACTTGTGTTTATTGATCATCTTTATTATCATATTCATCACATTTGATGATTTTAAGCAAACAGGAATTTTAAAATAACTGATTAGGTTTATACACTAATGCTAACTAATTTATTTGGACCTGACTCTGCAACACACCCAAGTATTACACAAAAATGTCTATTCAACTTGCTTAAATCCCAGTGCATTCATCATTTTAAAAAAAATAAAGCAGTTGTGCCCTTGATTCAAACCCTTTTTTTCTTGTCTGGCTACTATTGACGAGTTGCAGTCTGGATTTATGAAGAACAGGAATATCTCTAATAATATAATATTAGTGCTTGATTTAATTGACTATTCATATTTAACTGATGAGAAAAGTTTAATATTTTTTAGACTATTATATGGCATTTGATAGCATTGGGAGTATATTTATTTTCTCTACCCTTGAAGCATTTGGATCTTACTTCTCCAAATGTATTGAAACATTATATTCCAAAGCAAACTGCTCTATTAAATTGTGCAGTGCTACTTCTAGATTCAAGATTAACAGGGGGATAAGGCAAAGCTGTCGAATCTCTGTATATCTGTTTTTACTAGCTGGTCATCTTCTATCTTGCCATATCCAAAGCAGAAGGCTAAAAGGCATTTCTATAGCTGGTAGAGAGATTAAGATCAGTCAGGTGGCAGATGATACCACACTGTTCCTTAGAGATGCCTCTCAAATACCTATAGCCTTAAGTATTCTTGATCCATTCTCCAAAGCTTCAGGTCAATGCCTTAATTTAAAAAAAAAAGTGAGATTTTGTCTATCAAAAACTAAATTAAGTGCAATTTGTAACGTCCTTGTTAAAGATGAGATCTCCTACTTAGGTGTTATTGTTTCTAAGGATGAGCATTCTAGATGCAGTGACAACTTTAAGCCTATAATTGAAATACCAAAATACCAATTTGTTCATGTTAATGATGAATCTTGAATCCTGACACATCGCTCATCCCCGCAGACAGGCAGGGATGTATTGGTAGCCCTGTCGCTACTGGAAACCTGTTGCCATAGCAATCCTCCAGGTAGGCTATAGCAAGCGGATGAGGGGAAAGGTGTGGCCCTCGTATGCTGTCTGCAAATTGAGAATATTCAGTCATAATTACAAATATAACATAATGAAACACAAAATAAAGTGTTAAAACAGTCATTCAAAAAGAGTCGTTCATGTGATCAGAAAAGATTTGAAGTATATCAGTGGAGGTCAAAGGTGAGCTTAAAGTGACCTTTGTGGTATTTTAGTATTAGCTACAATCGTTTTCTTCTTGCTTTAGCATCATGTTAAAATTCTGGCATATTCTGCATTTGGCATTTTAATAATTAACAATATCCAGTATGGACATCCAGTGGGGAATCAATATTAACTTTTCTACAGATGGATTAATAGATGTGTAGGATAACGTGAGGTGTGATAGACATCTAAAGTGGTCATCCCTTGTTTTAGTGACAAGCATAAGACCAGCTCTGCTGTCTCACCTTGAGAGGCACAAATCCCCTAAGGGCTCTGGGAGGAAGTGACAGTCCATGAAGGGGCCAGAGTGACTCTCCAGAGCAGCCTGAAAGGATCTGACTTACATAATGTCCTCAGTCAAATGTCAGCCTCCAAATGCTGTGCAGTGTCTCCACCTGGTGGAGATCAGTGAGGACATCAGGTGCTAAGACTGTAGTTGAACGTGTTTTGAAAATGTTGGTTTATTTTCTTTTTTGTTATGAGGTCAATCAGCCAGATCAGTACCTCTCTGTATGCTAAATATCAGGCCACAAGTGTGAGGCCTGATGGACAACACTAAAACATACTGTATCTCAGTATGGTGCAGCCTGTTGCTTAATGAAAACTGCTTGGTGCCTAGCAGCTTTCAAGAGCCGAGAATCAAGTCCAACTTTGAGCACGTGTGCAGTTTGTGGAATCGATGTATCTTCTGCTCAGTGCGTTATGCCTATGACCCAATGCCGTATTTTGACAGTCAGGTCATTGTTGTAAATTCATATTTATATTGAGGAAAGCACAAAGTTTTCATATTTGTAATTTCTTGAAGTTGTTACTTTTTAAAACGTATTCTCACAGGCAAAATATACACTACCGATTTTCTATATGATATGACTTATACAAGAGTTTACAAAAACAATTTTGCATACAATTTATTAATTTGTGCACAGCCGTAGACTAATACACATGCATATTATTGCCAGCTGTCTTACCTCATATGAGACTGATGCCAAAAGAGAAAGATTATAGCAGGCAAAGGCTAATTTTCAGGCTAAAACAGTGACAGATTTAGGATGAGGTTCAAAGACACACAGAAAGTTTATGTTTGAGATCAGAGAGTAAAACTGTTTGAGGCTCAGCTCAGGCTCTAACAAAGAAACAGGTTCAAGCTAAGGTTCAGACGGAGCTAGATTTGGAGTCAGGTTTAGGATTGTATATGGAGACTGTATTAGATTCACACAATAAATTTACAGTGTGGACAATCAGACTGACAAATATTGAGCACTGTATCACATATAAAGACCATTGTATAAAGCCTACACAGCCTATTTCAAAGCAACAAATAAATTTGTATTTTAAACCAAATACATAATATTTCATGAAAAAGTCTAGTAGCTGAAACAAGGGAAGAATGAAAAATGAAAAGTGATTCTGAGACAATACATGCTATAAGAACTAAAGAGCTGTGTAGATATCAAGCTCTTGTAGTAGTAGTTTGCACCTACAATCTTTATCTGTTGTTAAGGCACATCCAGAAAGAAACAGACCTTTGACCATGCTGTTTAGGCTCATACAGTACAATAAGTTGTGTAAAGCACCATTTTTATTTTTCATTTAAAAGTCGAGTCCAAATATCTAGCAGCTGAAAAGGGAAGAATGACAAATAAAAAGTGATTCTGATTAGTTTATCTTATTTCAGCTCAGCTTATCATAGCTTAGCATAAACTCTGAATAGGTGGCCTGGCTCACTCCAGAGGTGACAAAATACCAGTATCTCTAAAGCTCACTAGCTAATATTTCATTTGTTTAGTCCTTACAGGTAACCAAGTGTAAAAATTAGCTTTGCCTGGACCAGTCAATAGCCCAACATGAACTTTAGATGTGATACTGGGGGTTGTCTGAAAGCCAGCCTAGCTGTTTCCTCACGTTTCCAGTATATGCTAAACTAAGCTAGCTGACTGCTGGCTGTAACCTTATATATCTACCCCTTCTTTTGGCTGTTCCCGTTAGGGGTCGCCACCTAACTCTATCTTTGGCCTTCCTCTTGACCTCTTGCCTGGCAGCTCCATCTCCAACATCCTTCTACCAATATAACCACTACCCCTCCTCTGCACATGTCCAAACCATCTAAATCTGGCCTCTCTGACCTTGTCCCCAAAACAGCCAACCTGGGCTGTCCCTCTGATGTGCTCATTCCTAATCCTGTCCATCCTGGTCACTCCTATAAGAGAACCTCAACATCCTCATCTCTGCTACCTCCACCTCTGACTCTTGTCTTTTCCTCACTGCTACAGTCTCTAACCCATACAGCATAGCTGGTCTCACTACTGTCTTGTACACCTTTCCTTTGATTCTTGCTGCTACTCTTCTGTCACACAACACTCCTGACACCTTTCTCCACCCACTAAGCCATACTGCTGCTCACAGATATCCACTTCCTTTCTTAGCCTACCTTCCACTCCTCTTTCCCATAGCTTCATCGTGTGGCTCATCAACTTTATACCTCTGTAGCTGCTACAACTCTGCACATCACTCTAGTTCTTAAAGATCGGCACTAGTACACTTCTCCTCCATTCCTCAGGCCTTCCTGACGCAACCCTCTCTATTTATCCGGGCTTGGGACCGGCACAGAAGTCACTGGCTTGTAACTCCTGTGGCTAGATTGGATGTAACCTTATATATATGGTACAGATATGAGAGCGGTATCAACTGGTCTCGGTTAACAACGAAAAATATACACAAAATACTGAGCTATTAATTTAACATGTATTTCAAGTTAGCTAGGTATTATATTCTCCTAAACATTACGACCCCAAAACCTGTTGCATGTTTACCTTTTTTTTACGCGATGACGTCACTGGGGTTGGGGGGGTGGGAGTTGATCGGTACATAGCAACGGTTCCTTTGATGCGCTTCTGACGTCAGAAGAGGGCATTGTGGTGGCCGTGCTGATTTGCTCTTTCACTCAGTGAATTTTAACATATTCAGCTAACAGAACCAGTAATACCAAAATTCAGGAAACGCGAATAACGAACAAACAGAATGAATAAGCCTACAGCAGAAATACTTGAATCCCAGGACATGGACCTAGAAAATGTTATCGTTCCACGTATCGAAAGCATTTTCACACAGTTGAGCAGGCAACAGATAGAATTGGTCAAATCTGGCGAGCCAGATGATTTCACAAAAGACTTGTTTGCGAAGCTGATGCTGGATCTTGTTGAAAGCCTGACGAAGGCACTAGCTGAGGGTCTGAATGACAAATGTGTACCCGTGCAACAGCATGTCCTTCTTTCATATTTATCCAAAGCACTCAGTGTGAGTTTTTCCGAGACCTGCCACGTTAAACAGGCCTACACAGAAATCTTGGACGACTTAATTTCAACGGAGGTCAAAGGAAGCCTTGAGTGCCTGTCCAGTGAGGACTGCAAGACCACCCCATGCATACCGACTGATAGCACTGACCATATCGGCAGAAAGTCGAAGACACTAGCAGAGAAGGTGAAATCTATCTGCCCAAGATGCATTTTGAAGAGAAGGCCCAGCTGCACAGAGGCACCAGTCAGCTCACAAAGTGCAGTGGCTGCCCAGGACACAAAAAGCCATGAACTGTTAGAAATAGCAGAAACACGTTCAGATGAGCTGATGGAAAGTGAATTATACAACGAAGCTAAAAGAATCACAACAGACATCATTACAGCAGTTATTGGGCGTTTATCAGAAGAGGATTATGAACAGTCGTCCCCAGCATTCACATGCACAACTTGTCTGAAAAAAGCGTGCAGAAACGTCATCATTTTTACAAAGCAGCTGGCCAAAGATTTAGTACATCAGATAGTGGTGGAAATAAAGGAAAGATTCCGCCCTGACTCTGAACCTGAAGATGCAGAGTCCATAAGAACACTCAAGGACAGTGTTGACACTCTGATTGTGGCAGTTACTGATGACAGTGATGAAAATGATGACATCTCTGTGCTTCAGAACTACAAAAATATCTTCAGTAGTAAGGCTCAGAAATTCACTAAAGGACTGAGTGACCTCATATACAAGCACATTAAATCCAGGAGAGGAGCAGATGTTACTCCAGAGCCACTTCCAGAGAGCAGTTCTTGCACATCGGAGTCTGTTGGGCCATCAGACGCCACCATGTATGCTCGCATACAAGGACAAGTGCAGAACTGCTTGGAACTAATAGGGCAGTTTATCAGACGTCAAACTAAGAGACATGATGATGTCAGGCAGGTGTTCCATGGATCTGGGACTGAGACACTGGCACAAGAACAGCCCCTGGACAGCAACAAGGGTTCCCTGTCCAGTGAGGACTGCAAGACCACCCCATGCATACCGACTGATAGCACTGACCATATCGGCAGAAAGTCGAAGACCCTAGCAGAGAAGGTGAAATCTATCTGCCCAAGATGCATTTTGAAGAGAAGGCCCAGCTTCACAGAGGCGCCAGTCAGCTCACAAAGTGCAGTGGCTGCCCAGGACACAACAAGCCATGAACTGTTAGAAATAGCAGAAACACGTTCAGATGAGCTGATGGAAAGTGAATTATACAACGAAGCTAAAAGAATCACAACAGACATCATTACAGCAGTTATTGGGCGTTTATCAGAAGAGGATTATGAACAGTCGTCCCCAGCATTCACATGCACAACTTGTCTGAAAAAAGCGTGCAGAAACGTCATCATTTTTACAAAGCAGCTGGCCAAAGATTTAGTACATCAGATAGTGGTGGAAATAAAGGAAAGATTCCGCCCTGACTCTGAACCTGAAGATGCAGAGTCCATAAGAACACTCAAGGACAGTGTTGACACTCTGATTGTGGCAGTTACTGATGACAGTGATGAAAATGATGACATCTCTGTGCTTCAGAACTACAAAAATATCTTCAGTAGTAAGGCTCAGAAATTCACTAAAGGACTGAGTGACCTCATATACAAGCACATTAAATCCAGGAGAGGAGCAGATGTTACTCCAGAGCCACTTCCAGAGAGCAGTTCTTGCACATCGGAGTCTGTTGGGCCATCAGACGCCACCATGTATGCTCGCATACAAGGACAAGTGCAGAACTGCTTGGAACTAATAGGGCAGTTTATCAGACGTCAAACTAAGAGACATGATGATGTCAGGCAGGTGTTCCATGGATCTGGGACTGAGACACTGGCACAAGAACAGCCCCTGGACAGCAACAAGGGTTCCCTGTCCAGTGAGGACTGCAAGACCACCCCATGCATACCGACTGATAGCACTGACCATATCGGCAGAAAGTCGAAGACCCTAGCAGAGAAGGTGAAATCTATCTGCCCAAGATGCATTTTTTGGGACCGGCACAGAAGTCACTGGCTTGTAACTCCTGTGGCTAGATTGGATGTAACCTTATATATATGGTACAGATATGAGAGCGGTATCAACTGGTCTCGGTTAACAACGAAAAATATACACAAAATACTGAGCTATTAATTTAACATGTATTTCAAGTTAGCTAGGTATTATATTCTCCTAAACATTACGACCCCAAAACCTGTTGCATGTTTACCTTTTTTTTACGCGATGACGTCACTGGGGTTGGGGGGGTGGGAGTTGATCGGTACATAGCAACGGTTCCTTTGATGCGCTTCTGACGTCAGAAGAGGGCATTGTGGTGGCCGTGCTGATTTGCTCTTTCACTCAGTGAATTTTAACATATTCAGCTAACAGAACCAGTAATACCAAAATTCAGGAAACGCGAATAACGAACAAACAGAATGAATAAGCCTACAGCAGAAATACTTGAATCCCAGGACATGGACCTAGAAAATGTTATCGTTCCACGTATCGAAAGCATTTTCACACAGTTGAGCAGGCAACAGATAGAATTGGTCAAATCTGGCGAGCCAGATGATTTCACAAAAGACTTGTTTGCGAAGCTGATGCTGGATCTTGTTGAAAGCCTGACGAAGGCACTAGCTGAGGGTCTGAATGACAAATGTGTACCCGTGCAACAGCATGTCCTTCTTTCATATTTATCCAAAGCACTCAGTGTGAGTTTTTCCGAGACCTGCCACGTTAAACAGGCCTACACAGAAATCTTGGACGACTTAATTTCAACGGAGGTCAAACGAAGCCTTTACGGCCTGTCCAGTGAGGACTGCAAGACCACCCCATGCATACCGACTGATAGCACTGACCATATCGGCAGAAAGTCGAAGACACTAGCAGAGAAGGTGAAATCTATCTGCCCAAGATGCATTTTGAAGAGAAGGCCCAGCTTCACAGAGGCGCCAGTCAGCTCACAAAGTGCAGTGGCTGCCCAGGACACAACAAGCCATGAACTGTTAGAAATAGCAGAAACACGTTCATATGAGCTGATGGACAGTGAATTATCCAAAGAAGCTAAAAGAATCTCAGCAGACATCACTAGGGACATTTTAGGGTCTGTATATGAGGGGTATTATGATCAGTTACCTCAGTCTTTTACATGCACACCTTGTCTGTTTGATGTACGCAGACACTTGAAGGTCTGTTTTACAAAGCAGCTGGCCAAAGATTTAGTACATCAGATAGTGGTGGAAATAAAGGAAAGATTCCGCCCTGACTCTGAACCTGAAGATGCAGAGTCCATAAGAACACTCAAGGACAGTGTTGACACTCTGATTGTGGCAGTTACTGATGACAGTGATGAAAATGATGACATCTCTGTGCTTCAGAACTACAAAAATATCTTCAGTAGTAAGGCTCAGAAATTCACTAAAGGACTGAGTGACCTCATATACAAGCACATTAAATCCAGGAGAGGAGCAGATGTTACTCCAGAGCCACTTCCAGAGAGCAGTTCTTGCACATCGGAGTCTGTTGGGCCATCAGACGCCACCATGTATGCTCGCATACAAGGACAAGTGCAGAACTGCTTGGAACTAATAGGGCAGTTTATCAGACGTCAAACTAAGAGACATGATGATGTCAGGCAGGTGTTCCATGGATCTGGGACTGAGACACTGGCACAAGAACAGCCCCTGGACAGCAACAAGGGTTCCCTGTCCAGTGAGGACTGCAAGACCACCCCATGCATACCGACTGATAGCACTGACCATATCGGCAGAAAGTCGAAGACCCTAGCAGAGAAGGTGAAATCTATCTGCCCAAGATTCAGTTCAAAAAGCTGTCAAGCTGAGAGCCACGATGACAGGCGGGCGTTCCATGAATCAGGGACTGAGACACTGGCACAAGAACAGCCCCTAGACATCAGTGTTGTGGAAGATAGGACACCTGTGGAATCTGAGGATCCAGAACTGCAGACAAAGAAAAAGGAGCTGTTTCTCAGGTTGCTGCTGGAAAGGCTGATGTCAAAGACATACAAAAAAGCAAAAATAGACATTAGATTAGGAAGGCTCGAAGCCATTATTGAGAAATTATATGATGAAACGTGGGCCGAGCTGAAAGACATTGACTTTGACACCAGCAGAAAATGCGAAAAACTCCCGAAGGTCATTTTCAAAGAACTTTATAAGAACTCGAACAACTCACATATGCGACTTCTGGTTTCCATGCACGAAGAGACAAAAAAAGTGGCAAAATGCATCGCCTTATCTATCAGATCTCACCTGACAAAACCAAAACGGTGTAGCCCCATCTCCAATTTCTTCTCGCGTCTGCGTGGCCAAATCTTCAGACAAAAAAACAGAGTTGGGGTTGTTTAGGTGAATGTAAGACCAGAGTCTAAAAAAGAGTTCCAGTCCTGCCTCACATGAAGGTTGCCTTCTGCCACAGTGTCCTGGTCTCCTGGTTGTGAGGCAGTTCTTGGTCTCGGGTCACCCCAGTGGACAGCAGTGTGACATATAGATAGCCAGGATCCTATTTGAGTGTTATGGTTGTCTACTGTGGTGTCGTGGGTTTTCTCCAGGCACTCTGGTTTCCCCCACATTCTTAAAAAAAACTGGTTGTCTACTGTGGTGTCGTGGGTTTTCTCCAGGCACTCTGGTTTCCCCCACATTCTTAAAAAAAACTGGTTGTCTACTGTGGTGTCGTGGGTTTTCTCCAGGTGCTCTGGTTTCCCCCACATTCTTAAAAAAAAAAAACACTCAAGGACTGATTTTTAATTTGGTCTTAATTTGACTCTCTAAATTGTACTTCATAAAAACATTTCAATACATCAAATTAGAGATTTATTATTTATTATTATTGCTTTATTTATTATTGAGGTCATAGTTAAAGGTGCACTGTAAAACCCGATAATTTAATTTAACTCAAGATATTTTTTGAAACTGATGACAAAAAATGTTTTTAATTGAAACTAACTTCAATTTTTAAGTTAAGGAAAGCATTTTTATTAAGTACATGCTACTAGGTATTTTTAAGTGTCACTAACTCACAATTCTAAGTTAAAGAAACACTTTTCTATAAGCACTTTGTACTAGGTATTTTCTTTTGGAAGTGCTAATCAAATTTCAGTATAGCTAACTTAAATATTGCTATTACCTATAACAAAACTACAGTATTTTAATTCTCAGTAAGCAATTGTACTTTAACGTCATCTTAAAGTTTTTAAGTTTGATGAAGCTGTATAAACTCTCCTGTAATTGGAAACTTTCCTTACCTTTGACTTAAAATTGCATATTAGTGAACTTAAGTTCCTTGTTGAAACTGATCACATAAATTATATTAAGTAGCTTTAACTCAAGATCCCTAAATACACACACACTGGACTATACATTAAAATACAGGTTAACACACAATTCAAATGCATGTTACTCATTTATTAAGTAACCATCACATTAACCAAACATCAACAATAAATACAGTTTGGCTAATGCTGCATTGCTGCATGTCACAGCAGGTTTCAGCTTCCCAAAATGAATTTCTGAAAGGAAAAGCACTTTTTCTGTCTTAACTTTAAATTGTAACCAAGTGCCTCACAAGCTGCAAACTTGTCTTCAAATTTCTCCTGGCCAGGTGAGCAGAACAAACATGGTGGATGCAGACACTGCTTACCTCACAGTTTTGGGTCTGGCGACAGTTAATGAGCAGTTTCGTACGTGACCTCACACTGGGGTTCATTTAAAATATTTGAGTTCAATTACAAATACAGTGCCTTGCGAAAGTATTCGGCCCCCTTGAACTTTGCGACCTTTTGCCACATTTCAGGCTTCAAACATAAAGATATAAAACTGTAAGTTTTTGTGAAGAATCAACAACAAGTGGGACACAATCATGAAGTGGAACGAAATTTATTGGATATTTCAAACTTTTTTAACAAATAAAAAACAGAAAAATTGGGTGTGCAAAATTATTCAGCCCCTTTACTTTCAGTGCAGCAAACTCTCTCCAGAAGTTCAGTGAGGATCTCTGAATGATCCAATGTTGACCTAAATGACTAATGATGATAAATAGAATCCACCTGTGTGTAATCAAGTCTCCGTATAAATGCACCTGCAGTCTCAGAGGTCCGTTTAAAGCGCAGAGAGCATCATGAAGAACAAGGAACACACCAGGAAGGTCCGAGATACTGTTGTGGAGAAGTTTAAAACGGATTTGGATACAAAAAAATTTCCCAAGCTTTAAACATCCCAAGGAGCACTGTGCAAGCGATAATATTGAAATGGAAGGAGTATCAGACCACTGCAAAGCTACCAAGACCTGGCCGTCCCTCTAAACCTTCAGCTCATACAAGGAGAAGACTGATCAAAGATGCAGCCAAGAGGCCCATGATCACTCTGGATGAACTGCAGAGATCTACAGCTGAGGTGGGAGACTCTGTCCATAGGACAACAATCAGTCGTATACTGCACAAATCTGGCCTTTATGGAAGAGTGGCAAGAAGAAAGCCATTTCTTAAAGATATCCATAAAAAGTGTCGTTTAAAGTTTGCCACAAGCCACCTGGGAGACACACCAAACATGTGGAAGAAGGTGCTCTGGTCAGACGAAACCAAAATCGAACTTTTTGGCAACAATGCAAAACGTTATGTTTGGCGTAAAAGCAACACAGCTCATCACCCTGAACACACCATCCCCACTGTCAAACATGGTGGTGGCAGCATCATGGTTTGGGCCTGCTTTTCTTCAGCAGGGACAGGGAAGATGGTTAAAATTGATGGGAAGATGGATGGAGCCAAATACAGGACCATTCTGGAAGGAAACCTGATGGAGTCTGCAAAAGACCTGAGACTGGGACGGAGATTTGTCTTCCAACAAGACAATGATCCAAAACATAAAGCAAAATCTACAATGGAATGGTTCACAAATAAACATATCCAGGTGTTAGAATGGCCAAGTCAAAGTCCAGACCTGAATCCAATCGAGAATCTGTGGAAAGAACTGAAAACGGGGCTGAATAATTTTGCACGGCCAATTTTTCAGTTTTTTATTTGTTAAAAACGTTTGAAATATCCAATAAATTTCGTTCCACTTCATGGTTGTGTCCCACTTGTTGTTGATTCTTCACAAAAAATTACAGTTTTATATCTTTATGTTTGAAGCCTGAAATGTGGCAAAAGGTCGCAAAGTTCAAGGGGGCCGAATACTTTCGCAAGGCACTGTACAACGTAAACTAGGTGAGAACTGTAAACTTCAAATTACAAATCTGTAGAAATGACACAAAACAGTTGTGCCCTGTTAGATTTTTACCCGGTTCTTTTATTGAAAGAGTGAGAAGAGAAGGCAGGAGAGGACTGTATAAAATCAACAGAAAGTTTACTCAAAGTCTGGGCACAGGTCAGATAAGGAAGCGCTGGGATCAGAGAAACAGAGCTCCCGCCGGAAATCTGTTCTTTCCACCATGAGTTATGTTTTCTTGTTACATTTCTCTTCTCAGACTGAGTCCACCCTGTACAGAGGTACGACATTTCACGCTTCGTAATCCTATTGGCCATTTGGTGTGAGCAAGTCAACCTCTGCCCACGCCTGCTTGCTGAAATGTGATCTAGACCAGGTGTGTGTGTGTGTGTGTGTTGTGATTTTCAGGCTGGCAGCTAATCAATGAATACTGAACAATTTGTCTGTGCTACAGGCCCTCTATCTGTCTAGGCTATTGCAGGACAAAAGCAGGACCTAGTGAGTATGCTAAATGGGCCAGGTGGTGATCTCAGGTTGTAGGCCCCCTGTCTCTGCAAAAACATACTGCAGCTTTAACAAGACCATCAATATTTTTATATCACCAGTGGCTCCAATAATTATGTGTTATGTCAAAAAGGTCCAGAATCATGGAACCACAGATAATTAGCACCAATTTGCTGCGTAGCAAAGTTAGCAACCTAGCTCATGAACAGTTGAGCATTTAGTCACTAAGGAGTTGACATTTTTCCAGTAGTTGCAGGAGGCCAAATCAGAGCTAAAAGAATATGGACTACTTACAATTAGTCCAAATACAAATGCTCTGTTTGCTCTGTATAACTTAGTAGGCAACTGCAGTGCTGACAAGTCCCACAACATAATGTGTTCTGCTCCCCCCAGCTGGCCAAAAAATAAATGAATATGGCTTTAAGAGCTTATTAATGATAAAGCATCAGACTTTCTACACAATAATATTTGACTGTACAATAATACATGATGTCATGTAGCATTTCTGTAAGTGGACACAAAATGCTGTGAAAACTCCGCATATCAATATTTCCATGCGAAAATGAAGAGTCGGAGTGAAAATGGCAATCAGCTCCTCAGCCAATCAAAGGCGCCCTATTCCCGCATCCCACCCTCCTCCTCCTCCTCCTCCCCCTCCAAGTCTCTCACAGCTCAGTGCTCTGCTCCAAAATCCGGTTAGACCATGTAACCCACCGAGGGCAGGAGCACCAAGGCTTCTCACTGTCATCCGAAAAGCGAACCAAACGACAGTGACAACACAGCAGCGACCACTTTTCAATGGGGCACAGCCAGAGCCAAGGAGCCATTTAGTGGCGTTGAAGGAAACGATCTGAAGGTAGGTGGAACTGAGCTTGTTCAGCAGTAGAGTGGTTGTTTACAGACTGCGTTACCGGCTGTTTTCCTTCTAGTAAACGCGCTGACTCTTATTTTGCTGGTGAAAGTTCCCTATGGGGAACCCAACTTCAGATTTTCTGTTCCCTATGTGGAGACACCTGTGTAAATGTTACCGTGGTACAAACAGTTTGACTTTGGATGTTCAGACAGTCGGCGAGGCTAATCCTCAATAACTTTTAAAAGGCTTTTGGTCCACATTTTGTTCTCTGTGTGTCTTAAACAAACTTCTTATCCATCCTAGACGCCACAGTTCCACGCACAACCATGTAAGGTCTTACACCTTGTTTTCGTCCAATAGCTTCCTCATTTTCCAAGTTAAAGCAGCATTAACTAAGATTTAGCACAGATTTGGATAAACCAAGTAAAAAAATATCTAGAAGTGTTTTTTTCTCCCTGCTGTACTAAACCCCACCCCAACCCCCATTATAATCAGGCCGTGTGTTTATTTCTTGCCCTCTATGGCCAGTGTTGTTAGACTCCAGATCTCCCTTCTTCTACGCCCCCTATCTGAGGTAATAAGATGCGTTTTTCAGACCAGTATGGCTCATTTCAAAGACAAACCATGGAGACTCCCTGTGCAGATACAACCCAGGATGGGAGCAGAGCTGTTGGATCCAAGAGGCTGTGCTCTGGAGCACAGAACTTCTTCTTTTTCAAAGGACTAAACATTTCAGTTTGAGTGTTATTTCTGTATCCAGTTTTAGATTTCCAAACTCTCTCCACTATTGCAGAAGTAGCTCAGACATTTCCCTCTTTCTGACCTTTTAAAACTTTCTTCCGAGGCAGTATACTGACTGCATTCGATGTCAAAATAATGACTGAACAGTAAAATATTTAATGATTATACTGTCTAAATGTGGTTAGCGCTGTCGCCTCACAGCAAGAAGGTTCCAGGCTCAATCCCTGGCCTTTCTGTGTGGAGTTTACATGTTCTCCCTCTGCCTGCGTCGGTTCTCTTTGGGTACTCCAGCTTCCTCCCACAGTCCAAAGACATGCAGCTTAGGTTGATTGGTGACCCTTAAATTGCCCACAGGAGTGTGTGTGTGTGTGTGTGTGTGCGTGTGTGGTTGTCTGTCTGTCTCTGTGTGACCTGTCTTGCCCATTGTCAGCTCGTATTGCTTCAAGATTTCCCACAACGCTCTTCAGGATAAGTGGTATAGATAATGGTTGGATGGTTATGTCAGTAAGTATATATCTGAATTGCCCCAGGGGTTGCCTTCCCAAATCTGTTGGCACACCCAGTCCCCCAGAACACACCCAAGGGCAGGTGGCTGATAGAGATAGAGCTCTGGGAGGACAAAATGTAGTTTTTGGAGAATGCCTCTATGTTGATTAAAATATGTATTAAAACACTGGTGGCAGACATTATTGATGTGGAGACTGCCCTCATTACCTCTGATGATACATTTTCTATTATAAGATGTGTTCAGACTTTGTAAGAGTTAAGCATTCTATGTTGCATCCGGTGTGGTAAAAGCATTTTGCTTCCCGGGCCCAGAATAGTTACAGAAACACATTCAGCGAGACATCAGAGTCTGAAGAGTCAGCTGTAACAGTGTGTTTTACACATATGCATAGTTTTGGACAGCGGGCATCTCAGAAGAAATTTCTTATTAAAAACTGTTGTGCCGTGGTTTTGTACAGGAAAAGATGTCAGGCTTGGCCAAATATAGAAGTACAAATAAAGTGACCTGGTGACATGAACCAGTTCTGTGCTGAACACACACAAGGCGCCTCTATGCCAAATAGAGGTGAGATTAGTGCATCCTAAGTAAATAAGAATGTTGACAGTAATATGATGGATTGCATTTCATCCAATGATACTAAATGCCAAGGACAGCCAGCAAGAAACCACAACCTTTGCACATCTAAAGCAGTCTGTCGTGTTATGTAGGCTCAACTTGAGCAGGATCCACAGACCCAGCACGTCAGAAGGGTCGCTATCACTGATGGGTTTGATTTGATTTGATTTGATTTATTCTTTCAAGCATGTAAAAACAGTTGATATGACAACACATAATTTTACACATAATCCAATATCAATTTGCTTATACCTAGTACATGCTTGAATGGAGTAGGAAGAAGTCAGACTTATCCAGTCCTACCCCATGACATCATCTTACCAGCATGGGTTTGCAAGCAATAAATGATTCTCTTCTACACCACACAAGTATTATACTAAAAAAAGATTATAACAGTGTTAACATTCTTACATAATTACATTCTTAAATAATTATCTTCTACACCACACAAGTAATATACTAAAGAATTATTACAAAGTGTACACCACACCCACAATTGTCCATGTAATTAATCATTGAGCCTGTTCTTGCATATATCTTGATTGACACATACCTTTATATTTATGTTTAAACTCGTCAATTCTATTACTATTTTTTATGTCCACACTTAAATTATTCCATAGTTTTACCCCACTTATGGAAATACAAAATCTTTTTTTGGTTGTACGTATAGCATGAATTTTTAAATTTAACTGACCCCTTAAATTGTATCCCCCTTCCCTTTCATTAAATAGTTTTTGAATTCCACCAGGTAATAAATTGTTCCTGGCTTTATACAAAAACACAGCAGTCTTATATCCCACTAAATCAAAAAAGTCCACTCTACTGGACTCAACTGTTCTACTCTGTCTACTCCACTTCAGTCTACCAGTTCACTTGACTGTGCTTCAGACCACTTCAAGGATAAGCTCACTTTATTTTAATCTGCATTTCCCGTATCACCTTCTCTGTGGTACACATTCAGGGAACAAGAAGTTGTTACCGGGGCAAGGGTTTAGCCTCTGAAAGAGTTCAGAATAAATGTAATGTCAGTCAAATGGTTTGTCGTGCTTCTCTGAGTCAAAGATTAGGCTTGGGCTGCAGGCTGAGGCTACCTACCCAGGCCTAATCTTTGCTTTCCTTCTGACTCAGAGAAGCATGACATTACATTTATTCTGAACTCTCTCAGAAGCTAACCTTTTGTTTTCCTGAATCTCTACAATTAAAGTAATGATAGCAAAACCACTGTTAAAAGAAACAGAGCAGGTTCCAAAAAGCAACGTTATCATCACATCACCCTGTTAATGTATAATATAAATAATTTAGGTCCCAAAACAGAACCCTGAGGCACTCCACATACAATGTCCAGCTCACTCGATTGGTATTCACCCAACTTCACAAATTGACGCCTCTGTGTCAAATAACTTCTAATCCAGTTCAGAACCATTCCTCTGATCCCATATTTTTCTAACTTATCCATTAATAACTCATGATTGATTGTGTCAAATGATTTTTTTAGGTCAATAAATATTCCCATCGTGTATTTCTTCTCATCCATAGCGCTTGTAATGTCCTCCATTAGGCGGGTGGGTGAGGCCTGACATGTAATACAATCATTTTTTGAATATCGCCATTTTTCAGTGTGCAACAGAATCCTGGGGAGACTCAAGAATTATGAAGATGAGGAAACAAACAAATGTTGATTACTTTGGCACTGATATAGTGGACTGTAATCGATGTAGTAGAAAGCACAGTAAGCCAGGCTGAAAAAACCAACTGGATTTGGTTTTAGGTAGAAGACGTTTCACCTCTCATCCAAGAGGCTTCATCAGTTCTGTCCAACTGGTGGTGAGCAGGAGATATTTATCCCCCTGGGTGGTGTTTCAGTCCTTCAATAGCCAACAATGTCCTCTAACGACTGACATGTTGCGGTTCCAGTCCTTTGGTGGCCAACAATGTCCCCTAAAGAATGAGTCATGTATGGCCCAGTATCGGTGAGCGTCGTTACCTGTCTTTGAACCCTCACCTGTGGACTGACGCCTATTGTCCTGGTGGGCATGTTTGGGCAGAGATCTGAAAAACAGAGTTGTAGATGGATGACAAGTTGTGTCTTAGTCCACCACCCCTATTTAGTGAGGAGTGTTCTATTTGAACAAAAATAGCTTCCTTAACTCCCCCTTCAAACCAGCGATGTTCTCTGGAGAGGATCTGGACTTCACTGTCCTCAAAAGAATGTCCTTTGCCCTTCAGGTGGAGGTGGACTGCTGACTCTGGTCCACTGGAGTTGGCCCTCCTGTGTTGGGCCATGCGTTTGTGAAGTGGCTGCTTAGTTTCACCAATGTACAAGTCGTTATACTCCTGACTACACTTAATTGCTTAATCACTGGTGTTTAGAAGGAGCAAAAGACACACAATGACGTGGTGAGGCAGTCAGCATTTACAAAGCAGTTAGGCCAAATTAAGTACACAGACATTCACTCTACGTTTGGTACTGATTATATCAAATATCTACAAGTAACTCTCTTTGAGGTCAACTTACTGTGCTCTCTAAGCTAAATCAAAGTGTCAGACTAAGTTTAATAACTATTTGAAGTATCTAAGTTGAAAAATAAGGACGCTATTGGAAGAAAACAAGATGTAATACTGCATAAATAAAAGCTAAAAAGATGATGTGCATTAGATTGTTGCATCTAGGATGGATAAGAAGTTTGTTTAAAATATATAGACAAAATATGGAAAGGTTTTTGAGAAAGGAGACACACCACAGCTGTTTTAGCCACACTGCAAGCAATTTATAGATGATCCCTAAGTATAGCTCTTCATTTGCCCTGTGGTCCGTCATTCGCCCTGACCTTTCAAAGCAACTACAGTTAAACGCTGAGCCGTGGGTAAGAAATGCCACCTGTGCAACATTGGGGAAGGTTTGTTCTGTACTGCACAGCAAGTCTGGTAACAGTCGATAAAGTCTTTTAAAAGTTATTGAGGATTAGCCTCGTTGAATGTCTGAATATCCAATGTCAAACTGTCTACACCATGGTGCTCATGTTTATTCTTTAACTGTATAGTAAACTGCAAGGACTGTGGGAAGCGCTAGATTATATAACCAAAAAAAAACTTAGTCTTGCACATTCTTACCACAACACAGAGGAGCAGGTAGAGA